CAGGATGGTGGAGATAAGACCTGAAGGACAAGAGATGTCTGTTTCTCACCACAGCCTGGAGCCATGGTGGTGTGTGTGGACCCTGCAGGGTGGAGGGCGTGTGGCATGCCGCTCGGCCAGGTGGACGGGACCGTGCAGCGGAGTCTGAGTTGCCGGGTCCCTCTTCAAACGGGGGACTCTTCCCTAATGAATACACATGCTTTGAAGGGACATGGGAGGTTTCTGGAGAAAAGGGGATGAAGATTTAAATAATGTAGCCAGCCAACTGGAAGCCAGTTTCTTTCTGCCAGAGGATGTGTGTGTGTATTCCTTTAGTACGTACATCTAATTCTCTATGGCCTCTTGAGGTGTATCTGCCTTATTTTTTCGTTATGGATCTGTCTGCTCATAAGAATCAGTGCTGGAGGTTTCAGCCTTTTTTCTTATCCTGTACTGCAGGCACATGCCAGAGGGGTACATTAGAGTATAAAGCAAAATTGGAACATACAAGTCCATTATTATCACATCTTTTCCTGAGGTTCAAATAATTTTACGTAATAGGACAGCCTAATTTGTCAACATCTGCTCCGGGCCTGTTATCGGTATATCGAGTGTAAACCTGCACATTCAGTGGTTGAATGCTAAACCAGTAGATGAACTCAGTCATCGTATTAAATACAAATCAGTTGCTTTTTGATATTACATTTTTTTCCTGTCCGGCGACCATGTATTTCCAGGTGTGCTTAATTTTAAGTTTGTGGATAAAACTGAAAGGAGGTTTGCCTTCCTATGGGAGTAAAAAAAAAAGATCATATTCATTGATAATATTTAAAAAACCCTCTGTTGATTAGCTAGACATGGGAAATCATTGGGGGGGGGGGGGGGGGGCCTTAGTATAAACTGTTTCCAATACATAATATTTCGTATATCAATATTTTAATAAGGTGGACAACTGGTTGATTTGTTAGCGTGTTCAGTAACCATAGGGGATATGGTAGTTATCAAATAAGTATAAGATGTGCACGCGGTTATGTAAGTTTTTACAAGATGTAATGCACTGTTGTTGGGGGGGGGGAGGACCGCCCCTTCCATATGAGTGTGTGTGTACGGCGGGCATGAGGCGTGCATGACGGGACGAGTTGTGTTCGTATGTGGAAAAGTCATACTCAGTGCGGTGAACGCTGGCTTTATTGCTACTGTAACCGTAGCACCCCACGCAATAGTTGGGACTGTGTACTGATGTCAGTAAAAAAGGTTTGCCCGCCCCAAGCGCAAATTTCAAACTCTGCCTATGACTGGACATCAACACACATGTAGCAAGACACAACTTTGCACACACCTGCTGTTTGAACAATGAAAGCTGGGCATCCAGAGAGGTGACGAGCTCCAGCATCATAGCACAGGGCACGGCCGAGTCACTGGCCCCCAGAAACACCTTCTCTGGGGCCCGAGGGTCTGGAGGCAGGGCCTTGGAGTCGTAGTGGCAGGCCAGGAGCAGCCTGCGAGGGGCCGAAGGATCCAGAGTGGCAACGATGTTGGTGAAGGGGACCTGGCCCCGGGGGGTCACGGACTGGAAGGAGTCCAAGTCCACGGCCCAGCCGGCAGACAGCGAGGACAGAGTGGAGGTGATGTGCTGAGCAGAGAGGGCGGGTTAGAGGCGAGTGAGGCAAATATGTAAAGTGTGGGAAACTATAACTATTTACACACCTGCTGCACAGCCAGGCTGCCAGGAGTCCCTGGGAGCCTCTCGATTAGGATGGGCCTCAGATGGGTCTCCCACAGGCGGGTACCATCCACCTGAGAGGCCAGGCGGCGGATTTGAGCCGGAGAGCACTTGCTGGCTTTGTGGGACAACTGGATGTGAAGGGAAATAATTCATTGAAAATAAATCAAGAAAAACAATTTAATCAAAAGGTAAGGCAGCAAAGAGTGATAGCAACACAGAGAATGAAGAGTAAGAGTATGTCTTCTTTACGGCTTGTTGTGGTGAAGAGGAGGGGTTGTGCTCCAAATCTGACAAGAGCTTGGCAGCAACTTAAACATTTAAATGATCATTTCCTTCCACTATTTTCTTTACATTTGGCATCTCTGCACATCCGTACATCCTGAAAGAGGGATCTCTCCTCAGTTCCCCAATTATTGTCCTGATAAATATTGTTTATTTGCATTTTCTACAATTGTAGTCCCAAATGTTCCTCAAAGGGCTTCAGTTAAGCTAAGTAAATTCTAATTTAGAATTGACTTAGGATGAAAAGTAGATAACATCCCATTTGAATGCAGCCAACAATTACTTACATTGTGAATTAAACTGCAGAATTATTAGTGTTGAATTGTTTTGCACATAACATGATAGTGATAAGTATGCATAACATGTCCCTAATGTTCAAGATGATGGTATTGGACTTGTTTTTTGTCTGAGTTTGACATTTAAAGACTGTTTTCAAACAATTGGACTTTTCATTGAAGAGGGGGCCACCTTGTATCCAGCAGCAGATTTTTTTAAAATGAAAAACATGTCTGGAGGATTAGGACCAACGTTTCTTATCACATGACTCCTGACATGAGACAGAAAATCAGCACATCACTAGAATCTGAGAATATTTCTAAGTTTTGTAAAAAATAAAATAAAAAATAGTTAGAAGGTTATTAATGTATTATCTTTCTGTCCATGGAGTAATAGTGGATACATTGATTGACAAATAGTTTCAGCACTAGGCATGTGATCATCTACAAGTTTTAGTTTATTATTAGGTGTCACTAATTTGGCCCTTTAATGTATCCAATATTTAGTCCCCACTAACAAATCACATATCTGATTACAAGATGTTATAATACCAAAATTCAGACAATGCAACCCAATCTGGTAGTGGCTATTATATTTCAGAGACAGTGAACACTGTGAGGTCCCACAAGCCACAACAGACAGGTAAAGTTGAACAGTCTGTGTTATAGATCTGTCATAATGTCTCTCACCCTGTCTTTGGTCAGATCTGCCGCTGCTGGCATGCGGTTCCCAGGTCCATCGCTGGTGTCGTTGGACAGGTAAACCCCCAGCACCACCGCCAGCACCAGGACCCCGAGCAAGCAGAGCAGCAGGACCCGGGCCCGGGGCATCCGCAGCCGGTCACAGCCGGGCAGGGAGCCGCTACTCGGCTGCAGAGGCTTGTACTTCCGACTGGACCTGGACATGACGAGAGAGGAGGCTTCGAGACAGGAGTCCTTCAACAGCGACGTGTCCAAACAGACTTGTGGAGCATGTAGGAGGGATATTCACACAGGAAGTGGAGCTGCAGTAGGCTGTCTGTCAGCCCGGTGCTTCAGATGCAGCAGTCTGCAGTGCTACTCCATCATACAAATTCATGCTTTACATTGCATAGCAGCCCCGGTCTTTGAAGGCTGCTTTACTGCAAATTCATCCTGGATATTTGTATATCTACACAGAAATTGGTATCTATTTGGTTGTGTAGCAAGCAGAAACTATTTTCTGCTGTGTTAAACCTATTTGTATCCACTAACAGCTATAAGGATAAAGAACTGAAAAACAGAGACAATATAATACACTTGTGATAACTTTCCTGGTGCAGTAGTCCATTCAAAAACGGACAAAGTATGTTAATGGCGGAACCTGTTCCTGTCAAACAGTCCTTGTCAAAGGAGGACTTCTTTAAGGTTTTTAATTATGGTTGGCAAACTGCATTTTGGCGAGCTACCGCCACCTACTGACCTGTAGAAGGAACTAGTCAATTGTATTCATTCAAGATATACAGTTTAATACAAAATTAAAATGAAAGCACATAAGTACATTTTGTATTTACACAAGTACTGCACCTAAGAACACATTTGTGCTTAATTTAAATGGTGTTATGTTAGGTAACTACTAAGAAATAGGGTGCACAAATTTTCCCTCTGAGATGTAGTGAAGTTTAACTTTAATGAAGTAGAATAGGATGGAGTTTATAAAGTAAAGTACAATTTCATGAAAAAGTGTACTTAGGTACAATACTTGAGTATGTTCTAAGTTATTTTCCTAATATTCATAGATTCAATACATTCTTTTGTATTGAGTCAATCATTTACTCAATACACAAGAATAAAAGAACCTCTAGTTATCATTTACTGTAAATGATAACTAGAGGTCTTGGTTCATGTCACAACCATGGTCACAACAGAACAAAACAAAACCTGTTGGTTATATGACCTACTTCTCTATCCCGCCAGAATGTAATCTGGGGAAAATTAAGGGGAAAGGAAAATGACATTCTAACCTGTTGCTATTGGTTCTCAGACAGGAAGTCTCGCAATATCTCCCTGCTGATTGGTCAGAATGCCTGTTCATCTACGCCCTCAGCGGCGACGCCTTCCGTACAAATACAGCGTTAGCGGGATACTTTAGGAGTTCATCGCGCTTTCTCCTCTGAGTGTGGACATAGAGTTAGTGTCCCTCAGCACATTTTGACACAAAAGGAGAAGATCAAGTTGCTGGAGAGAGCTGCTGTTTTCTCGGGGACGAGTTACTTCACACTTTGCCAGAATGCATGTGCTTAAGCGAGGTGAGCAGTTTTGTGTTGTTATGGATCAGGCCTCAGTTAGCTTCAGTGCCCTGTCAATAATAATGTCTTAATGCAATGTTATGCTTCCTCTCTCTGACTCTTTTATATAACATACTATCTAAACTTAAACGACATGCTGGAGTCAGTGAAGCAGTGTTAAGCGGTTAGACTAAAGTTAATTTACTAAGTCATGATTTCTAGTTAACCAGTGTCACTAACAGGCTACAGACAGGGTTTATTGTTCTAACTAACTCATCTGCCAAGTTAACAAGCACGTCCTTTAAACATTCACATTGATAACCAGTTGGCTGTGTACACTAGCATTGCCTAATTAAATGTGAAATGTGAGCCTTTCTGCGTCTTATTGCTATGAGCCTTTGTCATAGTTCGCGCCAAAAGATATAATTGACAGGCCTTCCTGCATGTCACTGTGTCCCAGTGAGGCTCTGGTTAAGACATTGTAGGCTGAAGACCAGGAAGAGTTTGTCTATGCAGTTATATTTGACAAACACTCACTTTAAAAACGTGCAGCAGTAGCTTTTTGTCAACTAGTTGATGTTAAACTGCACAGATAATGTAAAAATCACAAACTAATTTGCTTCATGACTTTATACAGAGCCAGTTTTAATTAAAGGAACAGGTACAATTATATATTGTATCATTTAAAAACAAGGCAACTAGTGTACAGACAGTTATCACAAAGATTACCCTAGATAATTCATTTCTGGCAAATTATTTTTGGACTTGTGGAATGGTTGTGAAAACTTACAGTTTCAATTAGACCATGGGCGTGTTCATATTTGATAAATAATTAACATTTCCTTAATTATATAATAAAATGTATACCTCCCTTTTTTAATTGAGGTTATTTGCTTTCCTTATTGCAAAAGCAATTTTCCACTGGGCGGCTTGTAATGCAGAAAAGGAAAGTGTTAAAAGGAAGTAAATGCAAGAAGATATTTTAGACAAATATGTTGAAATGAGAAAAGGTTTAATAAAAGATGAAGACATCTAATAATATAACAATAAAATGACGTGCATCAACTCTAATTGTATTGTTAAAAGAAAGTAAAGTGATGTAACAACCTTACTGGCTTCATTATGACTTCTTATTAAGGCAGTTTACTGTTAAATCTCTACTCTTTTATTGTATAATTTTGATAACTGTCTGTACACAGTGTTTGTTAACTGAAGTGTTTATTTGTCTCGTTTTTCAGATGGACGCCAGGAGCGCGTCATGTTCGATAAAATCACCTCCCGAATCCAGAAGCTGTGCTACGGGCTGAACTCTGACTTTGTGGATGCGACCCAGATTACGATGAAGGTGATTCAGGGTTTGTACAGCGGCGTCACCACCGTGGAGCTCGACACGCTGGCCGCTGAGATCACCGCCACCCTCACAACCAAACACCCCGACTACGCCATCCTCGCCGCACGTATCGCAGTCTCTAACCTGCACAAAGAGACGAAGAAGGTGTTTAGCGAGGTGATGGAGGACCTGTACAACTACATCAACCCATTAAATAAACGCCACTCTCCCATGATCTCCAAGGCGACGCTTGACCTCGTCCTCGCGAACAAAGACCGCCTCAACTCGGCCATCATCTTCGACAGAGATTTCTCCTACAACTTCTTCGGTTTCAAGACTCTGGAGCGATCCTACCTGTTGAAGATCAACGGCAAAGTGGCGGAGCGTCCGCAGCACATGCTCATGAGAGTGTCTGTGGGGATCCACGGGACGGACATCGAAGCTGCCATCGAGACCTACAACCTGCTGTCAGAGAAGTGGTTCACCCACGCATCCCCGACGCTCTTCAACGCAGGCACCAACAGGCCTCAGCTGTCCAGCTGCTTCCTGCTCGCCATGAAGGACGACAGCATCGAAGGCATTTACGACACGCTGAAGCAATGCGCCCTCATCTCCAAATCAGCGGGAGGGATCGGAGTGGCCGTCAGCAACATCAGATCAACGGGGAGCTACATCGCCGGCACCAACGGCAACTCCAACGGGCTCGTCCCCATGCTGAGGGTTTATAACAACACGGCGCGTTATGTCGACCAGGGTGGCAACAAGAGACCTGGAGCCTTCGCCATGTACCTGGAGCCCTGGCACTTTGACGTGTTTGACTTCCTGGAGCTGAAGAAAAACACGGGAACGGAAGAGCAGAGAGCCAGAGACCTTTTCTACGGCCTGTGGATCCCCGACCTGTTCATGAGGAGGGTGGAGAGCAACGAGGACTGGTCCCTGATGTGTCCCAGCGAGTGCCCCGGGCTGGATGAGTGCTGGGGGGAGGAGTTTGAGAAGCTCTACACCTCGTTTGAGAAGGAGGGGCGGGTGAAGCGTGTGGTGAAGGCTCAGCAGGTGTGGCACGCCATTATCGAGTCCCAGACAGAAACGGGTACGCCGTACATGCTGTACAAAGACGCCTGCAACAGGAAGACCAACCACCAGAACCTGGGCACCATCAAGTCCAGCAACCTGTGCACAGAAATCATCGAATACACCAGCCACGACGAGGTGGCTGTCTGCAATCTGGCATCCATCGCTCTCAACATGTACGTCACCCCTGAGAAGACATTTGACTTTAAAAAACTAGAACAAGTCACCAAAGTGATCGTGAAGAACTTGAACAAGATCATCGAAATTAACTTCTATCCCGTGCCTGAGGCGGAGAAATCCAACAAGCGCCACCGGCCGATTGGAATTGGCGTACAGGGTCTCGCCGACGCCTTCATCCTCATGCGTTTCCCGTTTGAAAGCCCCGAGGCTCAGCTGCTCAACATCCAGATCTTTGAGACCATTTACTACGCCGCCCTGGAGGCGAGCTGTGAGGCGGCCGCTGAGCACGGCCCCTACGAGACGTACGAGGGCTGCCCCGTCAGCAAAGGCATCCTGCAGTACGACATGTGGGACAAGACCCCCACCGACCTGCTGGACTGGAAGCTGCTGAAGGAGAAGATCGCCAAGCACGGCATTCGGAACAGCCTGCTGCTGGCCCCCATGCCCACCGCCTCAACAGCTCAGATCCTGGGCAACAATGAGTCCATCGAGCCCTACACCAGCAACATCTACACCCGCAGGGTGCTCTCCGGAGAGTTCCAGATCGTTAATCCCCACCTGCTCAAAGACTTGACGGAGAAGGGGCTGTGGAGCGAGGAGATGAAGAACCAGCTGATCGGGCACAACGGCTCCATTCAGGTACTCACCCACATCATGGGAAATGCTTTGTTTTGTCAAGATACTGATTTCATTACTTTGTTTGAGTGGTATGATCACTCTGCTGCTTTTTCTTTTTGGTAAAGTTTTGAGTTTTTTTTACTTTTAGTCAAACATTTTGAATGTCATTTGATCAATAAAGCTGCTGCTGTCAATCTGTTTCCGCTCTGACGATTGTTTTTTTTCTCCCAACAGGACATTGATGGGATTCCAGATGACATCAAGCAGCTGTACAAAACCGTTTGGGAAATCTCGCAGAAGACCATACTCAAGATGGCTGCCGATCGCGGCGCCTTCATCGACCAGAGCCAGTCCCTGAACATCCACATCGCTGAGCCGAACTACGGCAAGCTGACCAGCATGCACTTCTACGGCTGGAAACAAGTAAGGGAGCTGAATTAGAAGATAAGTTATTACTATGAATGCAACAAAATGTGTTAAACCCTCCTCTTCCTCTCCCAGGGTCTGAAGACAGGGATGTACTACCTGAGGACGAAGCCGGCTGCCAACCCCATCCAGTTCACGCTGAACAAGGAGCAGCTGAAGGAGTCCCAGAAGGACTCGGAGGAGGTGAAGGAGCTTAACCTCGCTGCCATGGTGTGCTCTCTGGAGAACAGAGACGACTGCCTGATGTGTGGGTCCTGAACGCCTCACAGTCCTGATGTTATACACCTGTAACTACTCCAGAAACTTGAGCAATTATCTGAACACACGATGTATAGAAATTTATTTTAGTGTTCTGTCGACTCTCTTTATGTCCAATATTAACTAAAATATGTTTTCTTTATGTTGGAACTCAAAATGTATTTGTAATAAAAATGTTTTACATGCAAGTTGTTTCATCCTGTTCCTGTGAGCTGGTGGGGAGAACTAAAAACATTTAAGCTAAAACACATATATAGCATAAAGAAAGGTAGGACATGTGGGTTCAAAACATACATGTTACCATGAGGAGCAAATATTGAGCCTTTACTTCTAATGGCCAAAGATTCATTGTGAATGAGCTAAAAAAATACTATTCAGAATGTCAACTCAAATAAACCCTGATTCAAACTTTGAAAAGTGATTTTATATAGAATGAACTGGATAGTGTGTTTTGGTGTGTTCTGCACACAGATTGTTGAACTACCACTTGTCCTAACATTTAAAGGAAATCACACGTTTTCTGATAATTATTTTTAATATATTTTTTATAAAATAATGAAAACATAATTTACACTTTTAAATGTACAAGTTATTATTACAACCCAAAGAAAAACAATTTCCAACCAATATGTTGTCTGTGCATCACGCAGCCTGCCACAAACAGGAAAAATGCCAGAAAATAGAAAACGACGAGGAATCATACAGATCAATTTTGTACAGAGATCAGAAGTCAAATGGCATACACAAATAAAAACACAGTACCCTCATCTTCACTACTGTCTGCAACAGTGGGAATGTGTTAAAAAATAAATTATCAAAATATTTAACATCTAAAAAAAACAAACCTAGTTATAATATTACCATTAACCGTAATGCATTATTGATTTGTTCAACAAGGATCGTTGTGTGTGCTTTAAATAGCTTCAAATTATACAGAACATGAACAAACTTTAGATTAAAAAAGAAACCTTGGCCCTTGTCAGCAAACTAATAAGACCGTCACAGCGAGGAGCAGGAGAGCGTCACGGCAGGAAGAGGCGCTTTCTCTGTGGAGGATCTGAACATTTATTTCAGAGAAACTGGTCAAGGTATTATTCCGGAACCGACGCAAAAAGGTCCAACAATTTAAAAAAGTTACTCGTATCAAATCTGAATAACTGCAGAGTAAAGGAGCTGAAAGCAGAAGGAAATGAGTCCGACTACAGCACATGTTCCCTCTTGAGTCTGTGGAATAAAATAGTTTTCCAGTAGGAGTGAGCGATAGTGTGGCCAAAATCATGGAAGTGTGATATACTGCAAATCAATACTAGATTTTAAAACGTTTCTATAGTTATTGTCAGCAGTATCAATACACAGGTATCAGCTGTGCTTTCTGCCCTCCAAAAGGAATGTGACACATCGCTCCTGAAAGGAATCTATTGATCCAATTTGTAAGACTGATATAAATATTTTCCCCTTCTGTGTTTATGACAGTTTTAACAGATGGAAAAAAGGGACATTTATCTAGATAAACCCCCTTTTTTCACAGGTCAAATAAACATTTCTTCACCTGCTTTTAAGTCAGAAAACAGTTAAGATCAAATTTAGAAAATGGATCACCAGATTTAGTTCTCTCACTTGCCTTTCAGGACATTTTATATGAAGATCAATTGAGAAACTGTTAATATTTTTCTATTCAAGCCTAATTCAGCAGATGAAATGCCTCTGAACAAAGTAATACATCAATAAGCGTTCCTTACAATGACCTTATCACTACAATGGTTTTAAAATTTTGGCAAAACCCATTTTGACATCCTCTCAGGCTTGAATGTGTCACATCGCCCACTCCTAACTGATGGTTTAGTTTATTCAAAGCGTTGTGAGGAACCTGAGCGATTAGGATTTACAGTTCCAGTCAGACCAGAGAAGAAGAGACCTCCGGATCATAAGAAGTAGCAGATGATTCGTCAGCGATATCAAAACTGACACAGGAAGAGTCATCGTCTGCACGGATGTATTGTCCATTCAGTACCAGCGTTCAAAAACATTATTTCTGTATGAAAAATAGATATAGTAGACAATATCGGTAAGCAAGCGAGCGGTATAAATAGTGTCTCATGTTTTCACTTGGGTCGTCACAGAACACGGGGACAAATCCTCGCACACAGGCAGAAGTGTTGTGGGTTCATGTACAGTAAATGTTTCCTGTAAGCACACGTGACCAATGGCAGCGTCGTTTAGAGTTTTATGTAAAGAATAGTTTGACATTTTTGAGAATACCATCACTCAGTTTCTAGCAGTGAGATTGACACCACCCACATATTTGTCTGTTAAAAATGCAACCCTACAAGGTTAGCTTAGCATACTGTCTGGAAAGGAGGGAAACAGCTAGCCTGGCTTTGTCTACAAAATCGACTTTTCAGCACATTAAGTCTATGTTTCTAAATGTTTTGACCTTTATGGCCAATAAATTGTAATTGCAGGTCTGTTTGTGGATATCAATTCCAAGAATAAAATTCAGCTAAGACTCCTTGAAGTAACTCATCTCTTAGCCACAACAGATAGTCCATTAGACGAGGAATTGTCCTTTTAAATAGTTTTTTTTCTGGTATTAGATTATTTAGATATCATGTTAAATAATGAGCTTTAGAGGTGCAAGTGGGCCGTCAAGCTGGCTGTTCTCCCCTGCGTGAGATCTTTATGACAAGCTAAAAGCTTTCTAATGATGTTACTACAAAATGTCAAACTACTGCTTTAAATATTAGGAAACTAAGTTGATTTCAAAGACGTACTGGGATGAGGACTCAAGGTTAAAATAATTATCCAGTCCATTTAGATTTGAGATGAAACGGCACTGCTGAAAAACAGAAGATAATATTCAAAACAATGCACTACATTAGAGATATGGAACTATAATTAATATCACTGAGCTTCATGACATCGACCTTTAACACCCACACAGCACGCCGATGGCTTGTTTCACATCTGAAGGGCCACAGGTTCACCCATGTAAACGGAGGAGAGAAAAATATCGTGGCCCACAAGATTTCATATTACAGTAAACTAGTTTGTTCAGCACTCGAAACGTCCCATAGCACACACACACACACACACACACACACACACACACACACACACACACACACACACACACACACACACACACACACACACACACACACACACACACACACAGAATAAAATGCTTCGTGAACACACACACTGTTGTGCCATTACGTTTCTGAGAATTCGCTGTACCATCAATTACACACACACACACACCCACCCCTCTTTAGTACATCAATATCAGTACAATATGGGAAATATTGATACATGAGAGCAGGCATGTATCTACAGTACAATGTCTGTATAGCTTCCATTACTTCTAGTGCATTCTGGGAGATGCAGTCTGTAATGAGTCTTGTTGTTTTTTTGGCTGATTCGCTGCAGGAACAGTATTAGGCCTCTCCAGGTGATGATTCTCTAAAACAGTTTCCTCTCCTTCTCGCTCCTCTGGCATAGTAGCATATTTATATATATGAAAAGTATATAAGACTTTTTGACTTGAGTTTATAAAAATAAGAGAAAAGAGAGGGAGGCTCTCTGGGAGTGGTTCTGCATTTTAAAAATCCAGTTTTTCTGTTTCCTTGCTCTCTTTACGGTTTAAGGCAGTCCAGTGGAAGCACCCCCCTCTGTGGCCGGGTGCTCTATTCCCCCTCCTGCAGGAGTCACTCCCTCTTAGATTCAGCCTCGTACGTTAAGGAGTTAGCCTCGTTGTCGCTCTCGGTCGCGTCGTTGTTATTATAAAGTCTGCTGAACTTGCGCAGCTGCTCGCTGGCCGACAGGCTCTCCACCTGCAGCCGCTGGTTGTTCTCCCGCAGGTTGGCCATCTCTGCCAGCAGAACCACTTTATCATGCTTCTCCTGAGGCAACAAGACATGAGAAAAGGAGATGAGAAAACATGACTCGGACTGGACAATAAATAGAAATTCACTGTTATTAAAGGGTTAGTTATTAATCATTAATCATTAGGTCTATAAAATGTCAGAAATAGATGAAAAAAGGAACATCCCAGTTTTTTAAAGTCCAAGATGATTGTGCCTTTTAAGCTCAGTTCCAAACCCAGATACATTACAGTGTGAGACAGACAAACTAAAACATTATTTTCTTCTTCCAAAAGCAAAAATGTGAAAAGAAGATTCTCACTCTTTCCAGATCATTGTTCAGCTGCTTTAACATCACTTCCAGGTTGTAGAGCCGCCCGGACAGATTGTTGGGCACCTCGTCACTGTAAACAAAACACAGATGACTAAACAACGGCACGCACTCTAAGAATAAAAATAGTGTGCAGACGTAATGTAGACGGGTAGGAGGACAGGTTTTTCAGGTGTTTGTGAATGTGCATTCATTCTTGAGTAAGTCTGTGTGAACTGTAGCTCTTATACTAATTGCTGCTCAATGGTAGGACACACACACACACACACACACACACACACACACACACACACACACACACACACACACACACACACACACACACACACACACACACACACACACACACACAGTGTTTACTAGTGAAATACAGAGGAGTCAACAAGCTGGGGATTCAGTTCAAAGCCTGACAGTAGATGACCACCAGGTGGCTGCAGAGACACACAGTTCTCTGGCTGCTCTCATCTACAACAAAGTGAGGTTCAGTTACCCGCTGAAGGTCGGCGTGGTCCGTGGAGTCTGAGGAGTCTGAAACTGGACTGGACTGACGACAGGTCTCATGTCCGGACCCCCACCCTGCGGCTCCGTCAGTGAGAAGGGGGAAACTGCTCTTTGTGCTGCAACAGACATAGAACCACACTTTGTAAAAAGCTGCATTGAAGAGGCTTTTTCCCCCAGGTTTCCCTCGGGGTACAAGACACAATCACAGCTCCTGGCAGCAGGTGAGGTTTAGGATCGAGTGTTGGCTTGAGTTTAGTGTGTTTGTCAGAGCTTTGTGGCTGCAGAGCACACCAGGGACAGGAGAGAGAGACAGAAACAAACTGACGGAGAGAGAGAGATCGTCTACAAGGTTAAGACCAACGTACTGACATCTCTTTCTTTCCCAGGAGTGTCATGTGACAGAAGACAACATCCAATGTCCCACATCCAACAGTGAGTTGAATGCTTCTTTAAAAAAAAATTCTTGCAAAACCATGGTTACAACTGAGCATTAATAATTTGTGGGGATTTTGATTTGTTTAATTCAGCAGTAAAACCATACATGAATTGTACATACAGGTTTGAATGATTCTTTTTGACATTTCTGATACCATATATTTGAACAGTTTGTTTCCATGATTTCTCTGCATGTGTAATGTTTTGTTGTGTACAGTTTGTGTGTGATGTGAATGGATGCTTTTGTGAGTTGAACAAACCTAGTCTTGAGGTGTCTGCTGCCTCACCTTCGTACACCTTAGCAGCGTTAACCAGGCTGGACCACTCGAGGCCGCAGGCTGTGTCAGGGAGAGGCATCAGCCCGGGGTCCAGCCTCCTCAGGGGGGGCACTTTGTCTCTGACTTCAGTGAGAGACAGCTCCGAGGCAGACAGAGGCACTGAGGGGAGAACAGCTGCAGTGAGTGAAATAACCTCCTCGTGAAACAAGGACATACTGAAAGGTAGTGGAGCTTATGTAAGCAACAAATAACGTGTACATAACAATCATAATAGGATTGTTTTCACTATTAAGCTCCTTGTCTCGCCACAGAATGAAACTAGGCAGCTTATACTCAACACAGCACAGGTTTTGTCCACTCTGTTTAAACTCACCCTTCTTGCTCAGCACGTGGACGTTAGAGATGGCGTGTTTGCGTGTGGGCAGCGTGCACGTGAACAGGACGTCGTTAGGCGTTGTCGGGTTCTCAGAGTTAGCGAAGCTCGCCTCTCTGCGCCCGCTGCACAGAGACTCGTCTGAAAAGGTGCGCTGCAGAGTTCGTCTGGGAGACTGAAAGGAGGAAAAGTGACGGAGATCAGAGCGCTTACAGGTCACATCAAATATATGCATATAACTATGTCACATTTCAATTTGAACTGCTTCCCTCCGGAGGGCGCTTGAGACTCCCATAAGTCTACAATAATGTATTTGTCCATAGTGCATATCTATTAAATACAAAGTTAATCATACAGGGCGACGCAACATCCCACAAGTAGCTTCATTTACACATTAGTACTTTGTGTCATAAGCCTGTTGGACTGTATATAATGGCATGATTCAACTTCAAGCCCTCCCAATGTTTTTACTTATTTGTAAACTCATATTGATGGGTGAATTTGTGCCTTGTGGACGATATAATTGTTCAAGCAAACTAAAGCATTACTGATCTAACTGTGAGGTGTTGGTGTGTTCCTCACTGGGTCTCTTTGGGGCGTCTCCCCCACGTTGTCCATGATGATCAGTTTCTTCAGGTCGTCTTCGATGGTGCTTTTGTACGTCCGTCGTGGAGAACGCAGGTCCCTCAGCGAGGCTCGGAGCCGAGGCTGTCCAAACACGTTCTTTGAGTTGGTGTCCACCTGCCTGAAGACACGAGACAAGAGACAAGAGACATGAGCACCAAAAACACAAAGGGTATCTTCTCCCAACATCTAACCGTTAACAGATCAATGTTTCAGTAGCTGGTTTTAGGCTGAATTAGCACTGAAGACACTCAATACCATAATCTGGTATGATCAAATGTTGAATTAGAATTTGTAGTCAATATCATTATTTACATTGTGAAGCTTTTCGGTACAGTCCCTTTAACAGAAGAGGGAAAGGCTCTCTTCTGAAGCTCTCAGTCACTAACTTACTTCTTGCTGCTGTCAGAGCTGGTCGTCGTGGTGATGTTTGAAGGCGAGGAGCCGTTGTCGTCATTCAGCCATGGGCTTTGTCTGCTCTTTCCATAAAAAGCCTTGGGAGCGGAGCTGGACAGAGGGATGGAGCTTAGATGAGAGGAAGTTGGTGTCGTCGTAGCAGCGCGGACGGGCCGGGCTTTCTCAGCTGTCGGAGTCTTGTAACCCTGCGGTGTGTAGGCCCTGAGAGGACACACAGGTGTACACCGGGTTAATGCATCACATTCAACAACAAACTGCTCTCTCTCTCTCTCTCTTTGAAATAGATGAGACACGTGCTAAATAGGAAGTGAGAGGACACAAAGGATTTGAAATGCGCACCAAGTGTAGCACTAGAGGGAAAGCCTTTTCAGTTTTTTATGAAGTGATGAAACATTTTTATTTAAAGAACATTTTCAATTTAAAATAAGATAATCAGATCACAGAAACGATTGTGCAGGGAAAAACATTTTCTCCACAGAAGATAACTCCATTGTTTGAATAAGTCTTAATGCTAAGCTCAGCTGACCATGTTGATCTCCTCATTCAACTCTCGATCACAAGACCTAAACTCTTCCTTTAGAAAGACCTTTGTAACAACCATGTGATCCTCTGGCATGTAAGGCTGGCATACACATATCATTTAAAAAAGGATGGAAAAAACGATATTAAGTTTGACTTTTCTGCTCTCTTTTGCCTTTCCCCATAAGCATCATTTATTCTCGTAGCATCGTCCTTTCCCCCTCTTTATTGATTTATGTGTAATTAAAGTTGAGGTAGCGCTGTCTGCTTAACAACAGCATCACACAGCTATTGAGCGGTAACAGCTGAGGAAAACATCAGAAGAGTTAGGAACTTCCATCATCCATCAAGCGACCAGACGTGTGTTTTATCCATCAAACAAATTCTTTAAAAACACACAACCAACATTTAAAAAAAACTGCTAAATTACCCAACTGAATTATTCATCATTTAGAAGGCAGTCTTTCTTTTGAAATCTTCTGACCAAAACAAAACATCAACACCATCTGTAAAATTGTTCACAATACCTGCGATGAATCATCAGTGTCCTTCTGTTTTTACCTAATATCTATATTTTGTTGATGTTTCTAAACAACCCAGGCACAGACTGCAGCATCACAGTCGGTTGTACTGAGGCTTTAAACACAGAGGGTTTTAATCCAACACAGAGAGGACGAAGCCTTTGAACGCATGTGTGCCTTATGTCTGCATGCATTTATAATGTTGGGGGAAGGAAGAGCAGAAGGGATCACATGATGCAGCTGTATGTTCCACCAGGTTTAAGCTGCTTTGCATCCTTCATGTACCCTTTAAAGATAGAGTCGTCATACTATTGTGGTGGCACATAATGGCTGCTTCATTCATTTAATTCTTAAAGCTTAATATTCACACTCTCAATTAAGATGAACAGCATTAAAGGTTAAGGTATCATGTTAGAAAAATGATATCATAAAAGATGCATCACATCAGAGAGTCGGCGTCTCACCTGGGTTTGAAAGCATCCATTTTTTCGGCGCTGGATCCAGGAGGCGGGAACGTCTTGGTCCGGTACCCTTTGTTCTGATTGGCTGCAGCTGGTATGATGGGAGACGACTCCCGCCTCCTCCCCTCCCCGCTGCTGCCGCTACTCCTCCCCACCGATAGCTCCTGCCCCCCCCCATACGTCCCGAAGCACTGCAAGGGCTTGTGGCTGTTGGGCATGTTCACGAGGCGGGTGTTGTTGTAATGGGTTGAGGCGTCGATGCCGCTGTCGTTGGACCCCCCCTTGTTGAGATGGTCTGGGTCAGGTTCTGTTGGGTCGCCAAGGCAACCCCCAGGAACCCGTTCACCTACAGGTCCCCCGTCGAACCAGCGCTCGTCGCTGTGTCCGCTGGAGGCGTTGCTGGACAGAGTGTTGCTGCTGGAGTGGCTCGAGTACTGAGTCTCGCCCTGTAGAGGACAAGAGAGAAACATTCAGAGACACTCAAGCAGGCAAGGAGAGAAGAAATGAGAGCGGGAGGTGACGAGTCTGACCTTGGAGTTTCTGTTTGGAGAGTCCTTCCCCGGGACATCCTGTCTGGTCGGTCTCCTCTGCCCCCCTCCACCACCCGGCCCCCGAGACGACGACGCTGGGATGTGCCAGAGGGGCTCTAGACAGAAACACACAGACACTCAGAGGATTAAAGCAAATGACACTGAACCGCCATGGTTGGATAAGAGGATTAAATACTTATAGCACATCTAAACACTGACCACCAACACACCCAATCACACCGTCATCTCTACTCGGCTATCTACTCTGTGTACTGATAACAATAATATTTAAACAATTGAATACTGATATCTTGGTAATGCACTTTGATATAGTGTATACAAATAATCCAACACCTCTTAAGTACATTTGTTTTTACTTTCTATTCTCACCATGTCACCATCGCCAAACATACAAGTGAGTGTAATTCATTTGCAAAGATACAACGCACAATAAATGTAGTTAAAGTCAAGTATGATTAACTTACAACCTGTGTTTACATTTCTTGGCCACAGCCAACAGTTGCCAGCAAATTTGGAGCAACTTTATCAGTGATTAGTAGTCTTGCTTTGGCCACCTGATGAATACAAGTCTAAAATGATTCAATCTCTTTTAGCTCGGTTTTTGGTCTCTACCAACTCCTAAAAAATATCTTCTTCACTATGTCAACCAGCTAGTCAGCTTTCCTGTCAGCTATTCCACCAAAATACATCAGGCTGCTGAGGTCGACAACGGATAATACCTGAAAGTGCATCGAAGGGACAATATTGCAGTCCAAAAAAAATTAAACCAAAGAGCAAAAGAAGGCTAACGCTCTAAAAAGCGGAGTCATGTGATGGCAGGTGTTTTTAAAGGTGGTGTACCTGTTTTGCAGCGCTCCATAGTGCTCTCCTGGCTGGTGAAGCCTGAGGAAGACTCTCCGCTGGAGGTGACGTCCACACTGAGGTGAGGCTCATACGGCAGCAGGGGGCGTTGTCCTGCTCCATATCTACACATCATATAGGATCATAAGAGGAGGGAGGGCATTTGATTAATAAACACATAAATGCTAATATGATTTACATGTGAGTTAATTAGATGTATACATGCAGTAGTTTACGCACGCACACAGACGGAAGGAAATATGTTCCTAACTGAAACTAAAACACACTACAATTATTCTCTTAAGAAAGCCCTTAAAATGTAGAGCTTGGATTTGAATTTCAGTTTCTGTTTTGCATCCTGATGGCAGTTGAATAAAACACATTTCTCCGGTTGGGTGAGATGTTACCAGCCTCCACACAGTGAGGAAGAGCCGCCCACACAACAGATCCTTCCTCAGGGAGACAGTGTGTTCGTACACGTCTAACTGCAGATCTGAACACATTACTCTGCCTCATCTCATGAACACAGATAATCCACCCCTAAGCACACAAAACTGTTGTAATGAGTAATATCGGACATGTTTAGTCAAGATTACAGGAGTAGCGGCAGGGAAGTCTGAAAACAAAAGGCCACACACACACACACACACACACACACACACACACACACACACACACACACACACACACACACACACACACACACACACACCTGTCGGGGGAGGGTTTGTAGCGTACGAAGGGGCCCGGTGTGATTCCAGGCGGCCCCATCGAGGAGAGGCCGACCAGGCCGGAGGAGGGCGAGGAGAAGCTGGCTGAGGGGTTCCTGTAGGGCAGCATCCCTGCAGGAGACAGGCTGTAGTGGTTCTCTGGGTAGCTCACCGGCCTGCAGGAGAGAAAGAGGGGGGGAGAGAGAGAGGGGGAGAGAGAGAGGGGGAGAGAGAGAGAGGGAGACGGTAACCAACAGAACAACAGAGAGACCACAGAGAGGGTGTTACTAGAACACATGAAGCTATTTTGCTAGATTCAGTTATAAAATGCTACAGAGCAGACAGCTAGCGGCAAGCCACCTGCCTGTCAATCAAAGTGGACAATACCTTAACTAAGCAGAGTTAAAATTAAATTCTTAAATATTTAGTTTTAGAGGATCACCGAAGTTACGTTACAAACCTGTTTTAATAAAAATCAGCAAACTGTTTTGCTCCTTTTAATATACATATTTGTTACAGTACATCAGGTTACTATCAATTATCATTACCAGATAACCCAGATAAATTAATTAAAGATATTGATGCTGCCACACCAAGTCCTACCCCTAATCTCTTTCAATAGATTTTCTGCCTTTTTCCTTTATCACATTGCCCCCAAAAGGATTTCAAAGCAAATACAAAATAACCCAATTGGGTCTTTTAAGTAACCTAATGATACTAAATACATTGTGCACTGTCATTCTGAGTCTCACCTCTTAGAGTTTAGGTGCTGGGGCTCCCTGTAGGGAACAGGCATCAGGGTCTTGTGTGAGCGGGGCAGTGGAGGAGGTGGAGGGCCCATGGGGGCCCAGCGCTGCTGGTTGGGGGCACTGTGGAGCCCTGGAGGAATGGGGGGGCTGTCCCATCGCCACGTGGGGCGAGGGGAGGGTCTGTAGCCGGCTGCCAGAGGCTCAGGTTCTGGCTTCTGCTCCATGGTCTTCATCTCATACTCCTCTGTGCAGCCCCTAAGGAGACACACCACAAGGGATCAGAAGCCTGACACTCAAACATCCTCATCTTTCCACCATGATTTGGATCAGCTCAGTAAAAAGCAGCAGCATCCTTTCTGCAGCTTTATTAATCAACTCTGTGGACTCCAGCCTGATACCCAACCTAAATATGTTTTACTCATCATTATTTCATTCACACAGCAACTGACAAGTAAGGGCATAATGCATCAAATATGCATAGAGGATGTATTTAAAATGAGAGGCCAAGAGAAGGGGGGAAAAGGGGATGAGAGAGAGAATGGCAGTCATGTGCCAAACATTTTTTATGATATTCATTGCAATTTTGAAAGAGTCTAAGGAACTGTCTATATTACAATTATTTTGACCAATGGCTAAAATATATTCCTTTACTGTAATAAGAAACAAACAAAAAAATTATGATTTTTGAGTCTAAAACATTTTTGCTTAAGGCTGACTTCAATAATTTGAACTACGAATACTTGTTGTTGTCCTATCCAGTATGAATGTCTTTGTTCTTCAGGCTTTTGCTTTCTTTACAAAAAAGGTCTTGATTCTTTCATAGTTTTGCATTTCATTTGCATTTTTTAATAAAGCGGCGAAGCGCCAACAACTGCAGTTCCGGAAATGGCCACTTGAGGCTGGTTCCAAAACGATCTTGTTAAAATACTCCACTTTACAGCCTGGTGCAAAGAATTGTTTTTTACTAATTTGGCCTTGCTAAAACGCAAATCATGACAATTGCACAGCAGTATTTTTTGAATAATAATTACCTGTTTAATTATATTAATGTGTATGAGTTAAGAGATACAGGTGGGCTCTGTCAAGTGTCGCTAGTGGCTAGCTATAAGTCAAATAACAGCAACAAATTGTAAGCGGCATTTTCTTTACCAGAAAATATTTCCAAATAAATTGTACATTGTGAACAGTTTGAAATATTCTGAAAAATGTAGTTTTTTTTAAGGATAAGTTAAAATGCACAAAATAATGCTTTTTCTAGGCTATAATTATAATAAATCAATCATTTCGATTTAATTCACCTCAATTGTGTTGCTGAGACTAACAGATACAAAAACACCCAAATTAGCTAAATAGATACCAGCAGAAGTAAGAAGATATATTTTCTTTAGTGTGCAGCCTAGATTAACCGTAGAGCCTGGACACAATAAACCGTCCATCTGCTCTGTAACAAGACTGTCAAACATCAAACATAAACTGTAGAGAGATAAAAGAACAGACACCTATACATCTGTAGAAAATAACAATAGTAGTAGAGAACAAAGAATAATGGCAGTACCAAAAACAATATCCATGAACACAACACGTGGTCAGGAGGCTTTGATCAATCAAGAAATACTACCATTACATATCCATACAGTAACATAGCAGTAGCACAAACCTTAGCGAGAGCAGAGCCTACAAATGTCTTCCATCACAGCAGCGGAGGCGACAGCTGCACACGTGGTCGAACACGACAACATCACGCCTTTCCCCCTCTGTACCCCTCCGTCTTGCATGAGCACGGCGGCGAGTCAGAGCGTAAAAGGAAAAACACTTCCAACTCCGCTTTCTCTTTCTTTCTCTCCTCCACCCACCTCGCTCCTCAGCGAGCGCTCCTCTGCCTCTCCAGCTCAATAAAGCCTGCCTCTCTCTCTATCTCTCTCCTTTCTCCCCCTTTCACTCGCTCAGTGCATTCATTTTTAATTAATCACTTCCACTCAGTGATATATATTATTTATTTATTTTTGAGGTCTTCTTTTTTTTTCTCCTGCAGATTTCAGGCCTTAATCTCATGCAATCTGCTTGCCTGGCACACATTGGCAAACGAGTCCAAGAGAGAGAGAGAGAGAGAGTTTTGTTTTTGGCTTTTTCTTTTTTCTTTTGCTTGTTTTGTTTTGTTTTTTTTCAATTGTATCTTGTCTCTGTCTCGATTGTTCGCAGCTCCCGGGCATGAATTGTCGCACCGCCGAATCGAGACAGGTGGGTGGTATTAAACTCCTGTCCCTCCGCGCATTACGTGGAGGAGACCTGTGCCACTATTCGACGCCGGACTCGGTATCAATACTATCTCTGCGAGGTAACTCGCGTGTCTTGTCTGACAAACACACGGAAACCGCCTATCCACACTCTGCATTTCGAGACAGGTCTCTTTGCGTCGGACTGTCCTACCGGAACGGTTCGACGATATAAGTGTACGGGTAATACTGTCCGCCCCTTCTCGCGAGCGTTCGGAACACACTCGACATAGATCTTGGGGGGGGGAACACCCTGTATCACGTGAATAAAAAAAGGGGTAAGAGGGGGAACTGGCCGTTCTTACGCACGCGGTCATTCGAGGTATGTCTCGGTAAAAGGTACGTGTTGAGATGTGCGTCGGAACGTCAACGCGGATGTACCTCGCGAGATGTATTGGTACGTCGCGTGTGTGCCGGGTCCCTCCACCGGGGGGGTTTAATCGGAGGGCACAGGACGTTATACCGCAGACCGCTTCTGATTTTCGGCGGGGTCGAACATATCGGGAGCTGGACTCTGCTTGAGGAGTCTGAAGCAACTCCTTGTGTTGTCCTCGCCCAAGCGCGACTCACGGAGCGGGACGGATGCAGTTGGGGCGCTAGTTTTCCGTTGAGCCCGACGGGATAGGCTGTGCCTCGGACGCAGTCGAGCCTGTGAAGAGTCTTAACCGGCTTCAGCCCCGTACGTCGATTTTCGAACAATAAGTGTACTGTCACGAAAGTCCATCTCGGAACGT